TATACACATTTTAATATAGTAAAAACACAAATTTTGAATAAAATTTTGAATATTTTCGGATATATAAGTATTTTCAGATTTTTTTTATATATTTAGATATTTTTTAGGTCGAACCCGAACCGAACCCGACCCGAAACCGAACCGAATCCGAATCGATAAATTCTAATTACCCGAATGGGTCCAACTATCTAAGACCCGACCCGACCCGGATCCGGTACGACCCGAACCGAACCGAAACCGAAAATTTGAAATTACCCTATCGGGTCCTAAACTCCTAGACCCGAAAGACCCGGACCCGAAAGGACCCGACCCGAACCCGACCCGAGTACCCGAATGCCCAGGCCTATTTTGTTATGTGAAGCCTGAATCGGACGGTTTTAAATATATTACGGAGTCTAATAGTTCCAAAACGGCGCCGTTGCGAATCTCCCTTTTTGTGCATTTAATAAATGTTTTTTCTTACATGAAAAGAAGTAAATAAGGTGTTTAGGAAACATAGGATTAGATTATTATTATGGTTGTTCAAAAAAAAAAGAAGGATTAGATTATTAATCTTTATCTGAGAAACAAATAAGATTATTAACTGCTTAATGATCGCATAGATGATGTCATTTCATTGTTATTCATAACCGGCCTTCACATTTATTTAAAAAAGTTCATAAATTATTTCAGAGATGATATAAATTACATTATTTTTGATTTGGTGTCGATATCTAGATGGAAGGGTTGCTATGGGCAGCTTCATACCTAAGAGACTTGCGGATCCCCGAGATTCGGTTTGAAACGGACTGTTCGGACCTCGTGGATATGAGAATAAACCCGGAGAATTGGCCAGCCTTTGCCACAGAGATCGAGATCCTGCAGAGGCTTCAAGAGGGCTTCGACGATATGCGGCTGTCTCATATTCCCCGAAGTTTGAAAGGCCGAGCTGATGCACTAGCCAAAGAAGCAAGAAGGAAAGGAGTTGTTTTTTCCCATATAGATCAGACCAGACCAGACGGAGGTCCTCTTCGGAGAATCGACTCGTCTGTCTACCAATTGATCTAAACCAAATGGGTGGCGGACAAAAAAAAAAAAAAAAAATCTAAATGGGTCGTTTCTGATATAAAAGAAGATGTAACTATTAAAGGAAAGACGACGTGCCAGAAAGTAAATTAGATCCACATCCATGATAGAACCTACACCATTATCACAAGTTTAGAAATATAAATATAATATAAATGCATGTACTAAAATAATAAATAACTGAAAACATCAAAATCAGTGGTTTGTTTGTTATAAAATAAATTAATCTTAATCGACGTTTACATTATAAAAAAGGAATAATAATGGAAGAGGGAGAAAGGTTACTGAATGGGCCCAAGTCCAAGCCGGAGCACACTGGGCCCACCTTTACTGAATAAAAAAAAATCAGGTAATCGTGAGGCGCACGCGCCATGACGACCAGACGTGAAGGGGTTATTGTTATACTTATCTGTAAAATGTCAACTTGAAGAAACAAAAGTATTTGGAATCATGCTCAAGCTGCTTTTCTACGTCATGCGTCTTTTTCTCACCGTATGTGTTGTGTGTGTTGCGTATAAATATACTTTTATGTGCATACTCCTTCGTTATCTCGTACCTAACACGGATAAGGAGAAGCATGCAAACGCATGAATTGTATATATATTTTTCATGTAAGGAAGACATTTATATGACAAAATATATAAAACTTCTTTGTGTAAACGTTGGTATATGGTAGTTAAAACCCGAAAAGAGCTATGGGTAATTACGATACAAATAATACATCTTTGGTTTCGAATTATTCCCTACCTTATATGCGGCTACATGCCACTCTTTCTACACACAATTAATTAAATGGGGTAGATAGCTAATTAGTTTGTCTCCGTTGGTGTATATGGCACCTAATTAATAAGTAATAGCTCAATTTAAAAGTGTACGTGAAAAAATGTATCCCACGAACTCTAACGATCGACTTAATTATATATAAGTTTTTCGAAAACATATAGAAACATATGAATATGTAACTCTGAATATACTTTTTTTTAAGTACCATTTTTATATATATATTCCGAAAAAGGGTTGAAGTCCAATAAAAAAGACCTCCCAACTCTGAATATACTTTTAGCTAATTATATTTATTAATATCTGAAGAGAGAATTTTAAAGCGATTTATATGATTGAATATAGTAACTAATCACTAGTATTATTTTCGTGACATATTCTTATGTTTTTTCTACATTAATAGCATGCATTTGGAACATTCCTCCATGATTAATGGACCTTCTACATTCGCTCAGTCGATCTATAATCATCTTTCCAGCTGACGGACAATATATTATTTTTTTGAAATGATCAATATCATTGTTTACTAATCTTGTAATTATCACATGACATTTCCATGCATTTTATCTTTATTCATATGGTATCACGAATCAATTCTAATAAATTATCGATTCTTTGATTATTCTAGATTAAACATATTTAACTCTAAAATTTTTTGGATGTATTCCCAAAAATATAAATGTAATTTATAGATAACTAAATCAATTATCTTAAATATTTATATACAAAAAACTGGAATGTTATAACATCAGTTAGTTTGAAATCTGGTGATCATATAACAGCGGCACTAGCACATCCCCAACTGCAATCAAATTCGAAGAACACATGAGAATTTGGTAGCTCATTGCCGTTTATGGTCTAAAGTAATTGAGTCGGGTCTTTAACCTCATGACGGAATTCTTGTTAGCCTTAGCCTTTGTGTTTCAATTTGGGCCAATTACCTCATTCTACACTTTTTTTTTTGTCAACTACCTCATTCTACACTAATTCCCTGAAATCGGACTTTTGCTTTAATCTTTAGGTTTAGAATTATAACTGTAGAAAATTTAGTTATTGAAACTTTGATTGCTAATTTAAGTTTTATAAAAAAACAAATTAATAGTTAAATTTGTAGAAGTTTTGAATAATACTTTATTTGATATTTTAAGTTATATTTTTATTAAAGAACTAAACATATATGACAAGAAAATAGTACAATATGGATCTCTAAACAAGAAAAAAATCAGTAATTAATTTTTAATAAAATTGTTACAAAATTAAAACAAAATTAAGTTATGAAGGAAAAAAATGTTTATAGAGAAAAATAAAATAAAATGAAAGTTGGTTACAGGAAAACAACACAAGAAAAAAAAGAAGAGAAACTTATAACAATGTTAGATACATTAGAATAATTTTTTTTTTGAAAAGCATGATTGGTAAAGAGATTTAAAACTTTCTAGTTTCATAATGCCTTTGGAGTTTTAACGTTAATCAGACCCCAAATTGTTGTTTTAGTTTATACTAGAAGTTGATCCACACAATAGAGTGGATGTTATTTTATATTTACATCAAATTTTGAGATTGATTATTTTTACATCAAATTTTGAGATTGGTTATTTTTTTGTCATCATCATAAATATACTCGATTAAAACTCTGCTAATCAAACAAGGGATTCAATATTGATGAAGAAAAATAGGCTGGTTGACCTCTTATTCCTTGTGCAAGATTATCTGTTGTTTTGTGTTTTGAGTTTTTAATATCTTGTTATAAATTTGTATATAGTGTTGGTATTGTATTTAATGATTTTTTTTTAAAGTATATATAGTAAGTATTTAATAAAAAACTCTGTTTTATCTTTCGAACAAAATATTTATTTTAGCTACATTTTTATATAAAATATGTGAGGATGTGATAATCAAAATAGAATAGTCTGTTAACATTTTTTGCATTTATTTTTTATGAATATGAAATTCTACAAAATTGACTAAATACATTTATGTTGTTGATATATATAGTGCATAATTCTTGGGTCTGATAATTAAGATATTTTAACTTATAAACAAGACTTTTGTCATTATAACTTTAGTACTTAAAAAACTGGACCCTTTGTAATGAAAACTAAAACATAAAAATATGTTGGACTATTTTATCAACTAAAAATGTAAAGAAAAAACACACGATTAAAAGTAGGCCTTAACCCTTTAGTTAAAGCTTTCTATTATCGTCAGCAAAATGAAAAGTTAAAACATTTCCAATTACGAAACTGGCTTAACCAATACATTAATCGGCATAAAATAATTCCTACAACACACAAATGTTTACATGTTGCCGTGAAACATAACATAACATCAATCCTATACTGAACCATTTTTGAAATTACTTTTTCCCCTTAACTAATGCATTGACCCAGATTAAAATCAATCCTAGGTCAGCCACTGGACCCTTTACTTAAACGTTTCTATTATTGTCAACAAAATGAAAAGTTAAACCTATACGAAATTGGCCTAACCAATACTTTAGTCGCCAAAAAGTAATATCACACAAATGTTTACATGTTGCCGTGAAACATAACATAACACTAATGTTACAAAAGCATTATTATGTTCAGAAAAAAATCGTCAGACTTATTCCAAAAACTAGTTATTATCCACCAAAATTTTTGAATCGGCCGGTTGCCACATTATGTTTAACATAGAATATGTTCCGTTTGGTCGACTAAATATTATTTAATTTAGTGATTGAGATGTGCAAATGAATGAGCAAGGAAATGGGACGTGGGGATGGCATGTAGATTGATGCTAGAAGCGTTCAACGATGGCTTCCATGGAAGTTGAGCAGGCCCATTTCTCTTTCTTTGTTTTAAATTAGTTTTAGTTCCTATTTCTGGTCTAGTTTAGCTTAACAAACAACTCATAACACATAAGTCGAACACGTTCATGACGTGGGTACAATTATCTTACTGACATTGAAACGGTCCAAAACCAAAAAGAGAAGACAACCGAAACAAAACACAGTTTGTGTCCTTTGTATTAATAGAAACGGCTCAAACAAAAGTCAACGGTTTTCCATAACGACAGGAATCGTTATATAATGTTTAATTTAGTTTTTTTTTTTTGTGTTTTAATTTGTTAAGAGATTGTTGGCCTCCACCATCATCACCACCCAAAGAAATTGCCGAGATTTAAGCTCTGTTTTACAAACACACAAACAATCAAATCTCATTTTATAGAAACCCTAGTTTCTTTCCAAGGAGATTAGTTTCCTTGACACACACGTCTTCTTTCTTTTCCTTCCAGAAAGCTATTTATTTGTCCTTCTTCCCTTTGATTCATATTTCTTGAGGTTATGGCAACGACGTCAAGCACGACAAAAGCAAAGGTGGACAACAATAACCTAACCAAAACAAAATCTATCGGTCGAAAACCAAAGCAACCATCTTCTGTGTCATCAGAAGATGGATCTGATCATAAACCGGAGAAGCCTTTGCCAAACTATTTGAAACCAACGATCAGTTCAAGACCTGACCCAGTCAAGTTCTTGAAGAAGGATGAGCAGGATAACCAGAAGCTTCTCCGTAGAAGATCTTTTGATCGACCACCATCTTCGTTGACTTCTGCTTCTACTCCTTCTCCACGTGTCCAAAAAACCCTCAACGTATCTCCTTCTCTGCCACGAGACAAACCCGCGGTTCCTAGAGAGAAGCCTGCCACAGCTCTGCGTTCTTCTTCTTTCCATGGAAGCAGAAGTGTTCCCAGAGGAAGCGCTCCTGTGAAATCGCCTCATGTTGCTCCAAAGAAGAGCGGGTTGAGCAGTAGTAGCAGCACTTCTTTGAAGAGCAAAAAGAAAGTTCCTGAACATGTTGCTGAAAAGAATGCACCTGAGAAAGAGATTTCCTTGGATACTGCTTCTTTGTCATCTGCTCAGGAAGATGAAGAGGAGGTTGTGAAGGTTGAGAGGGATGTACAAGTTGCTGAGGATATAGAAGAACCCAAAGAAGAAAAGGAAAAGGAAAATGAAGAGGTGGGTGTAGAGGTTGTGCATGCTGATGTTTCTGGTGAAGAGAATGAGAGTGGTGGATCAACATTGGTTGCTCCTGTTGAGGAAGACATTGTTGTTGCCAAAGAAGAGGAAGAAGAAAGAATATTGATCAATGAACATAACTCAGAAGAGAAAGTAGAGGAAGAGAAGGAACAAGAGAACAAGGTTGAACTCACTGAAGAGGTTACACCAAAGATTGATGAAGATGAGACTTTGGAGAAGGTCGATGCTGACATGAATACAAAAGAAGTTGAGAAGGTCGAAGAAGTTGAAAGTGTGGAAGAAAAAGAAGAAGTGAAAGAAGAAAAGGAAGTGAACATTGAGGAGAAGGAAAAGGATAAAGCTAAGGAAGAAGAAGTGAAAGAAGAAAAGGAAGTGAAGATGGAGGAGAAGGAGAAGGATAAAGTTAAAGAAGAAGAATCAGGAGAAGGAAAGAAGAAGGAAGTAGTGAAAGGTAAGAAGGAATCTCCATCAGCATACAACGATGTAATCGCAAGTAAGATGCAAGAGAACCCAAGGAAGAACAAAGTTTTGGCTCTTGCTGGAGCTTTTCAAACCGTTATTGATTATGAAACTGCCGCATCTAAGTGATATATATCACAAAGAGACACAACAACAACAACAACAACAACAATCAACAATGTCATCTCTTTAGCTTTGAATTGTATTTCATTTTATTTTATTTCTGTCTAATTATCATTTGCCATTGTTATAATTTTTGTGTCGTGGAATGTATGCTTTTCGAGTGAACTAAGTTATACACGAACCTAATCATATGTTTGAATGTATTGGACGCATTTGTGTATATGCGCAATGACTTGAAGACTAGCTAGCTATTTTTAACTCGGTAACTTTGTTACCAAATTTTAAAATCAACATATACCATTGTACAGATTTTAATTTTGATAAGAGTACAACAATGATATTAACACTAATCATATGATACATGTTATGCTCAAGTTTCTGTTATCAAACTCTGAAGTTTGTTTCCAAGTTAAAAGTGACTTATGCAAAAAAAAAAAAGACAAATAAAAGCTCCTCTTGTAGTGTTAACTATATGGAAGAATAAATAACCTAATAAGAGTAATAGACACTATATCCTATTCAACCCACTCTCACATTTTACCTAGATCAATTTAAGACTTAAGGATACAAGTGGTTGGTGCCTTTCCAGTGAGGAAGTGTCCCACGCACATGAGAGTTCCTATCAACTTTGACATTTTATAATAACAAAACAAGCACAAGTTGCAGGACACAAATTTAGTGAAATTAAGTTACACGTGTTTTTTCTAAAGCCCATAGCCTCTTCATCCTCTACTTGTCGAAATGAGATGAGATCATCAAACAAGTAATCGCTCTTGTGGCAACCAAAAAATAAAAATAAAAAACAAAGTAAAAATAAAAAGAAGAGATCGCAGCAATTAAATATCATTAATTCTGTAAATAATATTTTGACGGATCTAACATGTATGAAGAAGTCTTTAGTTGTTTGTATCTAAAACAATAATATAATTCAAAATGATATCAAAATTTTCATTTATATGTTTCTCTATTATAAATGTTTGAAAAGTTTTAAACGAAGAGAACTGAACCTTCACCAAGAATCTGATAAAATGGAAACATAACAGCAGTTCTAAACATTTTCTTCTCTCGTTGCTTAGAGAAAGTTTAATATTTGTTAATTGGGTGTTACGTGAAACCTAGCCAAATTATAAAAGAAATAAGGGAGATTTGCCAAAATACTCCAAAAAATCAAGAGAAAATAGTTTTTTTAGACCAAAACCATTAAGAAGTTGTCCGTTTAGTCTAATCTCATTTAGTTATTGTTCCATTAGATTAATTATTTTCTAAATGGAAATAATACTCTTAAAACAATTTAATAATTCGTAATTATAATTAGAAAATAATAATAAATTATTATTTTTAATTAAAAAATTGTATTAGAAATTAAAAAAAATAAAAAATAACAAATAAAAAAATAAAAAAAATAAAAAAATAAACAATATATTTTCGATTTGATCCGGAAAATATTTTCCAAAGATTTTCCTTTTAATAAAACGTTTTTGCCTTTGCTTTTTTTTTTAAATCGAATTTTCCTATTTTTTTTTTAAATCGAATTTTCCTTTTTTAAAGAAAAAAAATCGAATTTTCCTTTTAAAAAAAAATGGAGTTTTAAATATGATAATAGAATATTTTCTAAGATATTCTTGCTATATTTTCGGATCTAATAATATTTATCCGTAGAAATCAGATTCTACTAAACGTAGAAATGTGTAAAAAGATATGAAATCAATTTCTACGTGTATTAGAACGTTGTGCGAATTTAGATTCTGACTTCTACTTGTCTTAGATTTAAGTACGAATTTAGATTTCAACTTCTACTCTTTTTAGAACTATATGATAAGCGTGGAATGTGTATTCCAAACTATTTTAGATTCATGTTATCTCCGTAGAAAACATATTCTGCAATTCGTAGAAATAGTGAAAAAAATAGATTCTGTATTCTAATCCGTAGAATACATATTCTAATTTCGGTAGAATAGATATATGAAATTATTATTTACATATTTTTAAAACAAGAAAAAAATATCACTATATAGATATAGAGATTTCATCATTATGTACTATTTTTTTTAAAAAAAATTGCTTCATAAATCTATTTTTTTTAAAAAATTTCGAAAATACATAAAGGGCATTAAAGTCAAAATTGGTACAAAATATAATTTAGCCTAAAGGGACAATATCCAAACCTATTTGGTCTAAAAAAACAGTTTCCCCAAAAATCAAACATGTTGTCCCAATACGCCTTTTCCCTTTTTATCCTATTTTTCTCTAAAGTATCTTTAACTGAAAAAATAAATAAATTAAAATATATTATTTTAGTTTTGTTTAAATGTGAAAAAATAAAAAGATGATTTTATTGACAATATGATTGGTTCAAAATCATTTTTTTGGAAAATACGAATTTTCAAATAACTTAAAAATTTGGTCTACGATTTACAAAATGTGTATTCTGAGATTTTGATTATTACATGACTTATCTATTGATCTACTGTTTGGTAGAAAACAATTACTACGACTTCTACCTAAATTTTGAAAAACAAGAATATACTTTCTACCTTTTCTTCGTTATTGTACAAGTTTCTGAAAGTACTTTCCACCATCATCTACCAATCTTCTTCTGCTCTATTCTACGAAGAAATACCAAATTCTGCCGATATCCTTATGTTCTACTTTGGTAGAAGACATTTCTACCAAAACAGTTATAAAATTCCTAAAATCTAGGAAATTCGGTTAGAATATCTTATCTAAATCTGTACGTGTAAATAAAAGAAAAACCTCTTCTGACACCCTACCTTCTTCTCTTTTTTTATGTTTTTCAAAGAGAAAGTTTACACTAAACAATATTTTCTCTGGTTCTCCAGTAATCTTTATCTCGCTTACTATGATACATGTATTTGTAAGCTGTGGTGAATGGATATTGGGAGCCAACAATGGATGAAGCTTTTCTGTCGATGCAAAAAAATGTGGAAGACTCATTGCGTTGGAACCAAATATTACTCTCAATGAACTCAAGACAATGGTTTTGGAGGATTATGAAATCGATGAGAAAAATTACAGAGTTGTGTTAAGTTTTTGCATGCTGCGATGATGACCACGACGGCTTCTGTTATTATCTGTAATGATCGCCAAGTCAAAAAATTTGCTGCGTTTGCGAAGAAGAAAAAATCAGTTCAGTTGTGTGTGACTTTTACACCTACTCAGACGAATTAACTCAACACTGATCTGAATGAGCAGCCATGTAATTCAAGCGCTGGAAATGATGTGATTCCGATTGAGTCAAGGAATCAAATGAAACACGATATATCTGAAGCTGAAGTTTATGTTGATGATGGTGATGATGTCGACAAGACTGACAACAAATCTGAATGCAACAAAAAGATGCTTTAATTTTCTCTAATTGATGCATTAAAAAGGATCAATATTTACGAAGCAAAAGTGTTCTCAAGGCTGCTAAGGAAATATGTGCAGTGACGAACAACTTTGACTACAAGCTTTGTGAAAGGAGGAAAATACATTAGCAAATCTAAAGTCTCAAATTTTAACAACACATTGTAAGTAATATTGTTTCCCTTGAACTGATCATTGTATTGATACGTAATTATATAGTGCTTACAAGAGAGATATTCTAGGAGAATATACTGAGTACAATATCTACCGATATCTAAACTATATACAAGATACTTATCATCTTATACCCTCCCGCAGTCGAAGCGTGGACTGTGTTACGCCAAGACTGGATCGGAAGTTGGTAAACAATGAGGAAGGTAACCCTTTTGTGAAAATATCGGCGTATTGTAGAGCGGAAGGAATATGAAGAACTCGCACTAAGCCCATGTGTACCTTCTCACGAACAAAGTGAATGTCGATCTCGATGTGTTTGGTACGCTGATGTTGAACTGGGTTGGTAGAAAGATACACAGCGCTTACATTATCACAATAGACAATTGTAGCTTGTGTTATAGGGCGTCCCATTTCGAGTAGCAAATTCCGTAGAGAGCAAGACTCAGCTACTGCATTGGCAACTCCTTTATACTCAGCCTCCGCGCTTGAGCGAGAGACGGTGGGTTGTCGTTTGGCTGACCAGGAAATAAGGTTATCTCCTAAGAATAGGCAGTAACCTGAAGTTGATCGCCTTGTTGACGGACATCCAGCCCAATCGGCGTCTGAATAGGCGGTGAGTTTCATCGTTTGACCTTTGAGAAGTTGTAATCCCATCGTCTTTGTGCCTTGCAAGTAGCGGATGATGCGCTTCAATGCGAGAAGGTGGCTCTCTCTTGGATCATGCATGAACAAGCAAATCTGTTGGACGGCATAAGAAATGTCAGGACGAGTAAAAGTGAGGTATTGAAGGGCTCCGGCAAGGCTACGATATTCTGTTGGATCAGCGACTGGTTTGCCGGCATCCTCAGCTAGCTTGGACTTCATGTCTACAGGTGTTGCGCACGGTTTACATTCGGACATCTTGGCGCGATGGATGATCTCCTCAGCGTAATGAGATTGGTTAAGTAGGAGGCCTTTGTCGTTGAATTTGACAGAAACGCCGAGGAAGGATTGGATCTTGCCTAAGTCTGTCATTGGGAACTCGCTTTTGAGGACAGTGATGATCGTGTTCTTGAGGAGTTCAGTCGACGCAGTGACTAGGATGTCATCCACATAGAGAATTAAATACGCCATTAGTCCTTGTTTCCTGTAAACAAATAAACTCGCATCTGATTTGCTTTGTATAAAACCATGGTTAGTAATAAACTTCACAAATCTTGCGTTCCAAGCTCGTGGAGCTTGCTTCAACCCATATATAGCTCGTTTGAGTTTGCAGACATGATGTGGCCTATTTTTGTCCACGAAACCCGGAGGTTGGGTCATGTAAACTGTCTCATCAAGTGTACCATGGAGGAAGGCGTTTTTGACGTCTAGTTGGTTGATCTGCCAGCCGGAGTTGAGAGCAACATGTAGGACAGTACGGATGGTTACTGGTTTGACGACCGGGCTGAAAGTCTCTTCGAAGTCGACGCCATGTTCCTGCGATTTGCCATTGGCAACAAGTCGAGATTTGTGCCCTTTGAACTCGCCTTCTGCATCAAACTTATGCTTGAACAACCACATAGAATTCACAATATTAGTGTTAGGTGGACGCGGGACAAGATCAAAAGTCTCGCTTTTAACTATAGCATCGTACTCCACATTCATGGATGGATTCCAATTAGCATCAGATAAAGCTTTTTTGTAGCTAGTGGGAAGAGGAGAACGAGTTTGAGTATGAAGAGAGAAGATGTGTTTGGGTTTAGAAATACCATGTTTTGAGCGAGTGGTCATGGTATGCCTTGGTACCTCTCTTGTCTCTTGGACAATTTGAGTTGGCGCCTCAGAATGAGGTTGAGTCGCATCTTGGTGTGAGGTAGAAGGTGCAGACTCGAGAATGGCTTTAAACATCGGAGAGGGGTCGGTGTCAACATCTAAGAAGTTGTATTGTAAGTCCTTCTTGGTAGTTGGACTTATATACGGGAAACAACTTTCATCAAAATTCACATGACGCGAGATGATGATCTTCTTAGTAGTCATGTCAAAGCACCTATACCCTTTGTGATGTTGAGGATAGCCAAGAAAAATGCACTTTGAGGACCGAGGAGAAAGTTTAGAATTGTTAGAGTGATTGATGTTTGGATAGCATAAGCAACCGAAAACTTTTAAATGAGTGTAAGAGACTGGTTTTTGAAAAAGTACCGAGAAGGGGATGGCGTTGTCGATTGCTTTGGATGGTAAGATATTCAGAATATGGACCGCTGTATGAAGAGCTTCTACCCAAAAAGAAGGTGGTAGATTAGCTTGGAAAAGGAGACTGCGCACCGCATTATTGATAGTGCGTATCATCCGTTCTGATTTTCCGTTTTGCTGCGAAGTATGAGGGCAAGAAAAACGGAAGGTTATACCCTTGTCTGCGAATAGGTCATGAAACTGTGAGTTATCAAACTCCCCTCCATTGTCGCACTGCAACGACTTAATAGTCTTTCCAAACTGAGTGTTAATATAGTTGGAAAAATGAAGAAATTTCGAGAAAGTTTCATGCTTATATCGCAGAGGATAAACCCAGAGAAAGTGAGAGTACTGATCGAGAAATAGAACATAGTACTTAATACCACTTAAACTCTGAATCGGCGATGTCCATAAGTCGGAATGAATGATTTGAAAGGGTTCTGTTGCTGTCGATTTTGAAGTAGTGAAGGGAAGCTTTGTGTGTTTGGCAATTTGACAAGCAGAACATAACTGAAAAGCATCACGCTTATTATAAGATAATTTAGAAGAAGACAACAAAGAATTTAAAGTCTGCTCATTAGGATGAGCAAGTCTGCGATGCCAAATATCAAAAGAATCAGAAAGAAAAACAAAAGGCTGAGATGCTTCTTTATTGGAGAGAGGAAGAAGCGGATAGAGGTCCCCTGAGCTATCACTGCGGAGAATCGTCTTCCGTGTGTGAAGATCCTTCACAGAGAAACCAAGAGGATCAAATTCAACAGAGCAAGAATTATCTTTTGTAAAGCGACGGACAGAGATAAGATTTTTAATAACAGCAGGAGTGACAAGAACAGATTTTAAAGATAGAGGACGATATTGAGTTTGAAAAGAAACAGAGCCAGAAGAGCTAATTGGAATCTTACCCCCGTTTGCAACGGTGACTGTTTTTCCGATGTTATGTTTAAAAACAGACTTAAGATTACCTGCCGTATTGGTGAGATGAGCAGTGGCGCCAGAATCCATATACCATTGGCCATTGGTGGGATCAACAAGCGTCATCGTGTTGAAAGCTGAGGCAAAATCTGAAGTAGGCTGATAGTTCTGATTAGCAGCGTTGTTGTGTGGTCCTTGAGCAAGAAGCTGTTGCTGAGGACGCGGGCCGAGTATCCCTTGCTGAGGGTTCATTGGATGTGGAGGCTGAGACCATGGACTGAACGGCGGTTGTGGCCACATCGGGTATCCAGACTGCCAAAATGGAGTGCCCCACGAGTTGTAGGAAGGGCGCTGCTGGTTGTTGAATCTTCCTCTGCCACGGTTACGGCCTCTGGTTCCTCTGCCTTGAGAGTTGCGGTGATTGTTGAAGTTGGAAGTCTTCTGTTCCGCGTTGCCGTCAGTAACGTTGAGTACCTTAGCGGAAGAGGATGACGCGTCCTTGTGATGAGATGATTTCTTGTCTTTTCCCAACCGATCCTCTTCCAAAAGCAGCATGGATCGAGCTTGTTCAAACGTTGGGAACGGTTGTCGGTGAATGATAACGTTGATGATGTTATCATACTTGGCGCTAAGTCCGTTTAAGAGATAAGTTACCAACGTTCTTTCGGTGACCGGAGCATCAACGTTGGCCAGGAGATCAGCGATAGATTTAAGCTCTTGGCAATAGGATTGCATCGTGAGATCACCTATCTCTCGTGTGCGGAGCTTGTGATCGAGTTGAACGGCGCGAGCCTCTTTGTTATCACGGAAGAAGGTCTCAAGACGAATCCATATCTCACGAGATGTGCCTCCTGTTTTGAAAGTACTGCGTAAGAGATCTTTGGAGAGAGTGCTGTAGATCCAGAGCTTAACAACACCGTCGCGTTTTGTCCAGGCTTCATCAGCATCGTTGTTGGGAAGAAGAGTTCCGTCAAGATGTCCTGCAACATCAAAACTTTGACAATGAGTCATGAACACCTCACGCCAGGCATCATAGTTTCCATCGTCAGTGTCGAGAATAAACGGAATGTGCGTTTTGATGTTTGTAACACCATAAACACGTTCAAGAGGAGCAACGGGAGCATTGGCGGCAGCCATTGAGAAGAAAGAAAAACAGAGAGAGAAGAAGAAGAGAAGAAAAGAGAGAGGAATTTGCTCAAAAAGGTTCAGGAATCGTAACCCTCTGATACCATGTAAGTAATATTGTTTCCCTTGAACTGATCATTGTATTGATACGTAATTATATAGTGCTTACAAGAGAGATATTCTAGGAGAATATACTGAGTACAATATCTACCGATATCTAAACTATATACAAGATACTTATCATCTTATACACATACCCATGAAATAGAACAACTGAAACGAAACCTTACTCAAAATCAAATAAGGGGAAAACAACATGCAACTCGATATACTACCTTAATCGAAAAGTAGAGAGGTAGTTATGAACTTACCGTAAGCACTTGGACGAGGAGATACCGGCTGAGAGAAGGAGGATGAGAGCAGAGAAGGACGACTGGCCTGAGTCATACACCGGAGATGGAGATCGAGACAAAGGAAGCTTCACCGTCATCTCTTCACAAAAAAAAACTTTTTTTTAACATGAAAAGGAAACTAACGGGGGAGTGTGGGATGAAATCGATTTAAAGATTTTTGTGTGTTTTTATTAATTTTTATTAATTAATATTAAAAACAAAATCTTAGACCAAAACTGTATTAAAATAAAAGTGAGAAGGTATTAGGACAACATTTAGAAATGAAAGAGTAGGAGGACGAGACTGCTTTTTCGTGACCTAATTTAGCAAATTTTTCAAGAAATAAATGTCAGGTCAGTGGGAGGGAATTCAGAAATGGAAAGATCAACAGCGGAAAAGAGACTAGTTAACATACTTTACTCTCCATCCCCACAAGTTACAGACCTAGAACCAAAACATATTGGTTAAACACTAACTTGTGTGTTATTAAGAAAATGAGGTCTCAACTCTCAATAGCTTGATATCGAATCCTTCTCACCCCTACCACACATGTATGCTCACTTTTCTAGAAAATATATTCACAAAATATTGACGTTGTCTTTGTCAACTATTGACTCGTCCTTTATAAAATAAAATATAAGAAATTAGAGAATGGATAATGTGGAGACTGAAAGGACATCAAACAGATAAGCAATTAAAAGAATCAAACACTAACGTGGTTGATTACTTTTCTCCCGTCGACATAATATATATAATTAATTTCCTGAACTAAATTAAGAAACATTAATTCGTGCGAAAAATAAAAATAAAGAAAATAACTATGAACAAAGAAAAAGATAACGATTTGCATTATTGATCATCATCATCATCTTCCTCCTGGAGATCTGAGAGTGTAAAACAACTCCTAGACATGACTGCTCTGTTCTTGAACGAATGTTTCCTTGTAAAAACACCTTCTCGCTCTTCATCACTAGATGTTGATTTGTTCTCCGTGTACCCGGATTTGAGATCTTCACTATCTTCCTCGTCTTCGTTGACGGGGAAAAGAGGCATAGACTTAGGGTTTTGCCATGAGTAAAACGATCTTCTTGCTAATTTGTTGCAGATCTGTAACCTTCTTCGTTTATTCAATGCATTCTCTTGCTTTGGTACTTCTTTTACACTCCCAATCTCTCCTAAATTCCCAAACGATTTTGATTTCCCTTTGTAGTGATTCGATAACCCTCTTCTGAAATTAAAGAACCCTAATTAATTATTCCTTGCTCATCAAGATTCCATTTTTTTTGTAAAGGAAAAAAAAAAGAGAAACTTACTTGGTGAGGAGAGAATCTTCTAGAGAGCTCATTGAACCTAATCCTCGAAGCCCTAGCTCTTCGTCGTTGTCTTCTTCGCTGTCTCCGGGACTTCCGATCGATGATGAACTTTCCGACGAGTAATCCACCGTCCGGCCTGACCAGATTCCGTTTTCCTCATCGTTCACCGTGAAACCGGAAGAGGAAGAAGCCTTCTCCATCGCCTGTAGATCGTTACCGTATTCCGAGACTTCGATTGAGAAAGTAGGTCCTCTTGGCATCACCTCCATCGCCTTATCTTCCAGAACACAAAGGCACAAACCAAAAATCTATTGCCGATTTGGTCGGGAAAAAAAACACGGTTTTAAAGATCTTCACTTCTGGGTCCGGTCTTCAAATCACAGAATAGTAGAAATCGCCATGGCAGAAGAGAGATAAATGGAGTGAAGGGATAAGTTTTTTTTATAAATTTAATTGAAGGAAGACGATAAAAGGACGATAACTGGATAAAATATATATATATGCGTATGCGTGATTTCGGAGACAAACTACTATAAACTAATGTCTTTTCTTGTCCTTTTTAGTTATGATATCTGTATTTTTAGTATTTAAAACATTTGAAAGTTTATTCAGAAGATAAAAATTGGGGAATTTTATAATTTTCCTGCACAATGTAAGTATATTTTAGGGTTGCATAATGTAAGTAGTTCAATTTGGTCACAACTCAACTAAGGAATGGGTTTTATATCCAATGGAACCTTCGATTATTTAGGGTTTTGAAAAAAGTACTATAGAATGGTTGAGTTGGTCAACTAAGATAAAAGGAAAGGAATATTCCTTTCGAAATACTTGAAGAATATGTACTACCTAATATCAAATCTAATGGGAGGATAAGTACACAGTAGTTTTTAGTTTAAACATTTTTCTTCTTCTTTTCCAGTTTAGAATTATCATATTTTTGTTGCAATTTATTTTTATATACAAGTAAATAGATACAGTAGTAATGATGATTAAATACAAAAATTAATTAAAGGTTAGAAGAAAAACTTAAAAGTCATAGGTCAAAGCAGGGGGGCCAATGGGATAAGGTTGAGGTCTAGAGAAACAACATATAATCTTCCCTATTAATCTAATCTATCTCTTTCTTAATTTTTAATCTTAGCATTTGCTCTTGTTAGTGGCAGAGAATCACCCTCAGTTGTCCACACCTTACCTCTCTCTCACATTTATTATCGATTTTATTTTCAATACTTTTGTGTCTTATACTTTTAAATTTGGGAATCAAATGTTATTTTCTCTTTTTGATTATTAACGCGATAAAAAAGAGGTGTATTGGTTTGGTTGGCTAAACTTTATAGAAAGCTTAATTATCATGCTTCCACCCACAATCTCATATTCTAAAACAGTACAAAGTTTAATTCAGACACGAGTTTTTTTGGCTTTTTCCCATATATATATACTTGATCTATTAATTATATGAAACACGTTCCTTTCACGAAGGATCTTAATTAAGGTTTGCAGATCAATTGATTGAAAGTTTAGTTCTATGTTATGACCAAATTAAACTATAGATCAAACTAAACCAACAATGTCGTTATACATTTGTAGCATACTACCATTATATTTTTCCTCTTGTGACGACAAGCACACTATGGTTCTCAAACCCAATACACCAAATAATAATACAACAGCAGTAATATGTGGAAGTAAGAATTAAAATAAAGTAAGAAAAGAAAATAAATGGGCAAATCGCATAAAAAACCTTCAAGGTGGCAACCACTTACAGTTTAAACTCTGGCTTACTTGTACATCAAGTTAAAAATGTGACCGGTACTGTTCAAAAGCGATGACGTGTTAGGTTTCTTTTTAAAAAAAAAAAATTACGAAAAAATAAATATAAAAATACAGAAAATATAAAAATTCATTAAAAATTCTTTAAAAATTGAAAAAAATCAGAAAAAATCAAAAAAATCAGAAAAAACATAAACATTAAAAAATCACAAAATAATTAAAATATTTTATTAATAAATATTAAAAATAAGAAAAACTTAAAAGAAATTATAAAAAATCCCAAAATAAGAAAATTCAAAAAAATTTAAATAAAACAAAAATGAAATTTAAATAAAATTAATATAAGAATAATAGATAAAATAAATATAATTTCAAGAATAAATAATTTTATTTGTTTTATAAAAAACGAAACACTATATTTTTTTTTTTTAAAAAAGAATCATTATCTTCAAATGATTCTCGTGAACCAAATCAAAGCAAACAAATTAAATTCCAAGGATTTTTATGCGATTTTCCCAATAATCTAATTATCTTCAAATGATTCTTGTGAACCAAATCAAAGCAACAAATTAAATTCTAAGACTTTTAGCACCTAGACTTTCACCTGCATAAGTTTTTTTTTAAAATTATATTGTTATTTGTTTTTCGTGTCACTATTATATATTATATATATGTCATCGTATAATTGAATGTATATGATATATACCATCAAATGATTCTTGTGAACCAAATCAAAGGAAACAAGTTAAAATCCAAATCTTTTAGCAGTTATTAAAATACCCTATATTAATCTAGTTATAAAATCCGAAAACCTTGACTAATAAGCAACAAAATGAGAACAAAATGACTTGTAATTTAATTTGTTTGCTTTGATTTGGTTCACGAGAATCATTTGAAGATAATGATTCTTTTTTAAAAAAAAAATCTAGTGTTTTCTCGTTTTTTTATAAAACAAATAAAATTATTTATTCTTGAAATTATATTTATTTTATCTATTATTCTTATATTAATTTTATTTAAATTTCATTTTTTTCTTTACAATTTTTTGAATTTTCTTATTTGGGATTTTTTTATAATTTCTTTTAATTTTTTTTTATTTTTAATATTTTATGAATAAAATATTTTAATTATTTTGTGATTTTTTAATGTTTATGATTTTTCTGATTTTTCTGATTTTTTTCAATTTTTAATGAATTTTTAATGATTTTTTAATGAATTTTTATATTTTCAGTATTTTTATATTTATTTTTTCTAAAAATATTTATTTTTTTTAAAAAAGACTGACACGTCATCGCTTTTGAACAGTACCGGTCACATTTTTAACTTGATGTACAAGTAAGTCAGATTGGAGGTTTAATATGCTAAATTTGCCAACTTGAGTGTTTAAAGTGCTTGTAAAATACTCTCAAGGTTTAAAGTGTAAATGGTTGCCACCTTGAAGATTTTTTATGCGATTTTCCCGAAAATAAATAGTGACCTTTGTGTATCGAGCCATATAGTGAGGCAAAGTTCCGAAGCTAACCATTATAGTTGTGGCCTCGGGTGTGATGGATTATGTGTTAGTCAAAAGGGGTATCATTTTACTTAGCCTACTAGTCTAACCATTTTTTTTTTTTTTTTTTTTTTTTGACATCAAATAAACCACAGACTCATCTAGACTCTGTAAACCAAGCTGGCAGCCCGGTATCCATGTGAACAACGAAAGACGATTGTTTCCTTGCACTCCGTGCTAGACTGTCCGCCCTTGAATTCAAAGTTCTTGATACATGGATAATTGTTGAGCTGTTGAAACTCCTTCGAAGCGNTATCCATGTGAACAACGAAAGACGATTGTTTCCTTGCACTCCGTGCTAGACTGTCCGCCCTTGAATTCAAAGTTCTTGATACATGGATAATTGTTGAGCTGTTGAAACTCCTTCGAAGCGTCGTGATATCCTCCAAATAGCTTGCAAAAGCTGGCCATTCGTCTGGTTCCGAAACCATCTTCACCAATTGAGAACAATCCTGACATTTCGTGCTCCATAACCATAAATTCTATAAAATTGCTATAGAGAACTTTCCGAGAAGTATGAGAGTGCAAAAGACGCTAATCGTAGGAAACGAATATTCTGTATTTTATCTATTACTAGTGGTATTCCGGCGCTACGCGCCGGGTTCTTATTTTTTTATTTTTACATAAATTTAAAATTTATTTTATTGTTTTAGTTAAAAAAAATTACAATTTATTTTATGGTCTTGGTAATAAAAATGTTCATAAGTGATTGAAATTTAAACATAAATAAAATTGATGATTTATTAAGAGAAGATACTTATAAAGTTATAACGAAATTGAGAACCAATCACATCAACCAAGCTCATAATTTTCTAGTGGTATTCCATCGCGTAGCACCGGATTCGTTTGTTTTATTCTCTAATGAGTTCAAAATTCTTTTTTTATCTATTTAATAATGGTTAGTGATGGTAGTGTATTATTTTGTTTTGAATTTGTTGAGGTAAAAAGTAATATAATAAGTGGTTTCACTTATCGCTTTTTTTTAAAAAAAAAATAGTATAAATTGATGATAGTTGAACCAAAGTAAATTTAGGTAAACTTAAAACATAAAAAAAAATTGACGTTCCAAAAGGAAAACATTTAAATGCATGTGTTTGTTTTGTGATTATATTGTTTGAATGAAGATAATAAATTATTTTATATAAGTAAGAAGCAAAAGAGAAAAGTGTAGCTGATAAAACTTTTCTTAGTTGGGACTTCATATGATCACGGAATCAAACATTATTTTCATACTTGGTATACAAAGGGTGATACGACTTTGAGTTCTGATGTTTGGCTTCTAGAGCTGCCCTCTCCACTTAACTTTGCTTCTGGTTTATCATTATGGTTCAAAGCAAATAAAAAAAGGAATAAGATAATATTTACTCCACTACATATCAGCGTAGCTAGTAAAGAACGACAAACAAACCGGAGAAGCGTATGGTACTCGTCATGTCTTAAGGGTAATAAATATCTATGGAGAAAGTTAACCCATGACTAATATAGTTTTCTCTGAGTGTAAAATTCTATACAAATTGTATTCCACTGGAAAGAGCTTCAGCCCCTCACCTTAGCGCTCCAGTCTCCAACTACTTTGCTCTCTTTTCCCCAACCAGTTAATATGCTACCAAAAAAATAAAAGGTTAGACAAAATTATTCGTTAGTTTGG